CTACAACACCACCAACAACAGACGAACCTGCTACAACACCACCAACAACAGACGAACCTGCTACAACACCACCAACAACAGACGAATCTCCTACAACACCACCAACAACAGACGAACCTGCTACAACACCACCAACAACAGACGAACCTGCTACAACACCACCAACAACAGACGAACCTGCTACAACAACACCTACAACAGAAGAACATGCTACAACACCATCTACAATACCAACAACAGCGGCGACATTGGTAACATCACCAAATAGAAAGCGACGAGATTTAGATTTTTTACCATTAGATACTGGCAACACTAGAAAACGCAGACATCGTCGCAGTGTAAACCCTAGTGACATTGTTATCAACATCGTTGATCCTGRTATTCGGTCTTACGAGGTCAAAAACCTGDAAAAGGATGTTGAATACTGCATCATCATGTACGGCAGAACTGCAGTTGGCGATGGAGTGAAATCAGACTGCATAAACCAGAAAAAGTCTTTGAAGGGTAAGTAAAGTATATATCATTCCATTGGTTGATGRCTGTTTAGAGAAGTTTGCTTGGCTTGTTGATAGGTGGKTTAATACTCCAATTTCGAGTTCTGGTTTGCTCTGTGTTAGCCTCAAAACCAAGTAACATATTCTTTTGTTTCATTGATAGGCCGAGAAAATGAATGGAATTTGAAAAGAAACACAATAGAATTGATTTRAAATCTCACACTTTTATTCTCACAATTAGGAATATTTTGCGCACAAATGAGGCTAACACAGAGCATTGGAGAATTCGAAACTGGATTATTGCTAAGCATTGTYATTTTAAAGTTCTTCTGTTACCAAAAATCCGTTTTTATTTCAGTTTATTTCAGTTTCCTCGTTTTCAAAAGGGAAGGGTGGAAAACTCWCATTAGAGAGTTTAAGCATCACGTTAATGGCAAACGGCTAACGGCAGAGCTGAACCAATAATGACCTAAGAATTTTGTGCCCGACCTTGTRCTTTTGGTAGTCATTTGAAAGAGCGGCTTTTCACGATTATGGCAACCTCAACTGAAACTAACCCGCTCTCGCGTTGAAACTGCAACGTTAAACTCCGAAAAAGAAGATCACGTGATCTTTTCTGCTGTTTAATTGACGTTTGCAGTGAACGTCATGCTAAACCTCTCTATTGTTTTATATCTGGATAAAAATCAAATTATTTCAACCTTGCCTCCAAAAACCACCCGCCATTAGCGAATTTTTAAAAGGCGAGCGTGAAGCATTAGTCCTTGTATCACTTTATTTCAGACGAAATCATACCTACTGTCAAAGCTCAAGCATCTGCTACGAGTATCAATGTCTCTCTTAACATCACTGACTTCGAGAACCTACGAAGTACCGGGTATTTGCAATACTATGACTTACAGTTTACAGTSCTTCGAGTAAATGGRAACCCTGTTCTGGATAAAGACGTCATCAAGMGAACCTTCAACGCCTCCACACAGCATTTTACTCTCGACAATTTCAATATTTACACGACATACAGCTTGCAACTTTCTTTGGTAACGAGGAGGGGAAGTGAGAGTCTTACAGATCCAGTMTACGTCGGTGAGTCTGTGCTGGTTTCAATTCCCATCGTCAGTAGATTTAGCATAGAACAGCTGATATAGAGTACAAACGCACAAAACATTGTTTATTACTATTTTTGCTTCAAAATAAACCGGGAAAAAGAAATCGATGTTATGTATAATGGTAGCCCCATAGCCCTTGTATTCTGCTACTGAAATGCTTAAAGGCAGGTCACTGAAGCCAAAGGGTTTGACGGAGCATGCGTGGTCACATGYACAGCATATGCCGTCCGGCCAGATGACTCCCTTAATTATAACCAATAAATAGACTTATATGKCGTTAGTCATGTTTGAAAAGCATTTAAGTGAAATAAAATGAAAATGGTCGTTTGTTTGTATTCAAGTTGCTGTTCACATATTGACTTTTTTCTTTTAAGAAACATGTCGTTGCCCTTCCACATTCTACACGAACTGGTTCMTCAGCCCACCATTCACAAACCTAAACACWGGCTCTCAACCTGGCGGTATCTTACCCATCATCCTCGAGTACATCATCGACGCMGCCTGTGGACGCTGTGAGTTCAGCCATGAAACATCATCCGTGGAGTTTTTTAATGATGTTACAGGCAAAAGAACCAATTTTAAAGCCAACAAAACACTTTCCATTGGCGCCATTAACTCCAACATCGATATAACGTTTCCTATTAATAGCAAGAATGAGGTAGGTGCATGATGGGGTAATTTGATTAACCTTTGACAGTCTGTTCACTCTTTGTCTATATGCCTCATTGGCAAATCACACACTATTATTTGGCTTGKATTTTTATCTTTACTGATGAGTCGACAAATAATTGGCTCTGATTTCCAAAACCAACATGMAATCATCATKTCCATGCAGTTTTCACCRTTGCATCCTAATTAATGCTATTTCAATTCATTTATATTTTGCTGTCAGGCCAAATACATAGGGACATTTATACCCATCTTAAACGTACCTGTATTGCTTCTGATCAAGAGAAACGAGTCTTCTATAAACAAGTACGCCAAAGTTGTTGCAGATACAATCTATGATATATGGCCAATCATTGTTATTAATATCGCCTTTATGTTCTTGGCTGGTACTATTATTTGGACCATAGTAAGTATACAAGAATAGACTTTCTTGGGGGGGGGGGGGATAAAGATGAATAAAGAGCTCTATTTTTTTTGTAGGAGAGAATGAGTAACAGTGATCAGTTTCCTACAAAAACTGCCAAAGGTTTGTTTGAGGGGACCTGGTGGTCCTTCATTACCATGACAACTATCGGGTAAGATTACAGCTGAACAACCTTTAAATAAACGAGCTATTACTTTGCCATGCCTGAGCATCAAAATGTCATATTTTTCCAAGYATGCGTTGTGCGAGCGCAAAATATGTGCTGTGGTGAATTAATGCTGTTATAAAGCTGGTTGTCACTTTTATGTTTGAAAGAAAGAATTGGTTTATATGAGAAAACATGCCTTGCGCCCGCGTATTGTAACCAGAACTCAAGCTTAACCGATAAGATAATAAGCTTAGTCTCTCTGGTAGAATATTTTTCGTGACTCCAGGTGATCTCCTTTGATCAGGATCAGGCTTTGAGGTGTTGGCGCGCATCATGAAATAGGTCACTAAATAAACTGTAACTYGTGGAAGTACATTTTGATTTGGCTACTCTTTGAACTAATTTGATGGAAAATCTGAGTCTGAAGGCTTGAGAGTCTGTGAGGAAACAAGCGTCTCTATGACTTACTTGATCTTTATTTTGATGTAATGTGTGTGGTGTGGAAGTGCATGTGAAAGTACCTCGACATTTCCATCAGGAGCAATGACAGTTCCTGCAATCAATTTTCTCTCTGTCTATATTGACATGATGCCAAGAATCAGAG